GGAGGAGGCGTCGTCTGGACATTTAGTATTAATAAATCTACAACTTTTAACTACAGCATTAGCAGCTTCGGTTATGTCAGGAATCCCGGATTTTTGGTATTTACAAAGACACAATTTCGAGCGTTTAAATTCCATACAACAATAATCGTTGCGCTTAGGAGGGCCTGAATATCCGTATATATGCGCGTTGATGCACGGTACAACAGTCGGTCTACATACTCCTGGTAATGCCAAGGTAGCAGAAGGTTTCTTGGGAATCACGATAATGGCCGGACCAGTGTCACCACCACCTCCAGGCTTGCCTTTAATCGAACCACCCATATAGCCACTAGGCTCTGGGATACCCTGACCACCCTTATAGCCGGTTGGAACAGCGGGGACACCGCCACTATGATCCCCACCCCTATAGCCGGCGGAAGGTTGAGAAAAACCGCCGGTGATAGGCCCACCCCCTCCTCTTTGGCAGGTGACTTTGATGGGAGCCAAAAATGATGTCAAGATCAGTATGATCAAGGCAACGAACATCTTCATGTCAAATGAATTTAGTAGCTTGGTCAAGAAGATCCCAAGCAAAAAAATAAGAAAAAGATGAGTTTTCTTTCAAAAAAATAATCTCTAGGTGCTATATATTTATGTGGGGATGTTTTAAGGTCGCTAAATAGGGAATTGTAATCAATGGTTCCTACAAAACATGGAAATATTTGGAAAGTGGGAACTGATTCCTAGAAATAAGGAAATGATCCCAATTCTATATATTTTTATTTTATTTTTAGCAAAATAAACAATCGAATTGTTCAATATTTGATTCGTTCTATTGCTAGTTCTCTGTTTATGTGGAGATTTTGAGTTCTTTAATTTAAGGAGATATTGCTTTGGTATTTGTTTGCATGATGCAAAATGAATGCGTCTTGATTCGTTAAGAAACGTGAATATTACTGAGCGGAACTTGAAGCTCAAGGTCGACAACCAATCCTCTATATATATTAATTGAAGAGACACTAAGCGAAAAAATCATATGTGTCACTCAATAAAGATTTTAGGAGACACATTAATTAAATTATCCAATCAAAACATTCCAAGTTTTTAATAAAAAATCTCCTTAACTATCCTCAGATCATGAAAAATCCCTTCAACTATCTTTTAGTAAAAAAACCCTTCAATTATTCTTCGTTAATAAAATCAACCCTCCGTCTACAATAACGTTTAATCCTAATACAAATTATTGTTTTTTTTTACAAAAACGATAAAGCGTCTCAAATATTGACCAAAACATCAAGTTGTTTACAGGAAAACAACACAAAATGAATCTTATGAAAAAAAAAACGTGATCGTAAGTGTACTGTAAATCATGATTAATGCTTTAACTC